GAGCGGTGGAATTGATGAGGATGTCTCGGCGCTTCTGGCGATTTACTCGGAGGACGCGAACCGCGGCATTCAGAAGCTTCTACTGAATGCAGTTTCCGTGGATCAGCAAAGTTAGCAGACCTGGCAAAGTCATGTCGGGACGACTACGAAGGTAAAATAAAATACATGCACTGCACTGTTTTAATCTGCACAATACTGGTCTTAGATGTACTTTTATTTGCTCAGTAGATCGAGCTAGCCATGCTAGAACTTGCTAACATTAGGTCCAAGCTGGCTAACAACATCTAGCTAGCTAGCTATTCTCAGCCATGCCCGCTATGAACACGTTTTGACTTGTGAATAAGTGTGCAATGTTCTGTAATTTGCTTCACTAACTCATGGTGTGTTTCAGGCGAGGTGTTTCTCTCAGGATTAGAAACTAGTTTTCCCCTCCGGGATAAAACGATAATATAACGTTAGCAATTAGCATGCTAGCTGGACATAATGCTACCTCTGTATTCTTACCTCTAACAATACATTGTAGTTACTATGTTCAATATTCAATGGCATTAAAACGATAAAAAATGATGCTGCAGTTAATCCATAGGTTAATCCAATGTGTCTGTGTCCTCTTTGAAATGATTTCTGATAATCCATAAGCAATAAAACTGCTTTTTCGTTTCCAGATGTCAGAGCGAGAGATCGCTTCACTCTGGTGCAAACCTGCATGCGCGAAGCCCCCACCGTTTGTTTTCACAACGAGTGTGTGTGGGGGCATCCCCCTTCGATTCTATTGGCTCTAACGGTCAGAAAGAGGTGTCAACCATCAAAATCGACCAAGGGGGGCCAGAGATATGAAAAAAAAAACATTTTCACCCAAATCACCTCAGAGGTGGAGTGGTTTTGGCTAAACCTCTCTAAAAAGGTCAAATGTCACTTGTTTTGCATCAATCTTGATACAGGGTACTTATCATATGTTGTACTTTGGATTCCTAAAGCTTTTAGTCTACTAACCCATCATCCAAGGGTAGTTTTCACTATAAGTAAAAAAGAATTTTTGGACGGACACTATAATTTACAGTTTTTTACTATGTAAAATCTAAATTTTCTTTAAAATAAAAAACATCTATATTGATTCTGACTTTTCTACATCCAACTCACAGGTTTATCATTACTTTGAGAAAAAAGATTATTAATTTAACCCTTTTAGAAGGGAAGATATGGTCATTTGTTCTGGGAATGTCATTTTCGAGCCTGAGACCTGAAAAACAGGCTCAGAGCTTAACAGGTTAATCGTTTATTTGGCAGGGACAATGCACAGTAATGAACACTTAAAACATTCAAATGTGTCAAGCGTAACAGTGCCAGATTTAGCTTTGAGCTAATTTCCATCCGCAGTCCCTCTGCCAGTGACTGGACATTTGCCAGAAGAATACGAGGCCGGTTCTCACGTTTCGTCAGTCTCAGTAGCACTCCGGCCCGGGACCCCCGCTTTGTCTTCCTCCTGCGTCTCTCAGGTAAAACAGCAACAGGTATCTATGGCGATTCCCCATTGTTTGACGGTCTCGATGATAGACTGCTGTCCACACAGTTTTTGATGTGTAGAAGTTCCTCTCTGCTATAATGTATAGTAGAGTTTGTGGTCGGCTCGCATGTTGCGGACAAGTTTAAAAGCACAATACAAATTGTAAACAAACACTGAAATAAAACGAAAAAAAGGCAGAGTTGGGCCAAAGACACGGGAGCCATCATCACCGGCGCCATCTTTTGAGATCTCCAACCCATGGGGGGCTCACCTCAGCCTGAGCTGGATGATAAGATCGCCCATTCCCATACCGAACGGTTTGACCAAGCCCGGATTAAGAATTCAGAGGCCCCTGGGCCAGACTTGTGGAGGCCCCCACACACAGTACACATGCACAGCCCGCACACACGCATGTACGCAATACACTACTAGCATACTAGGCCTATTTGTTGGCATGTACAGGATTTACACTGACATTATACAGCATACAACTTTCAGGACAATATCAACACCTGTAGATAGTTTCATACAGGATTTACACTGGCATATTATCACAACCTAGTTGTCCTGAATGAATCTCCAGTGGCGAGATATCTGCAGCACAAAAAAAAGAAATATATATATAAAATAAATCAAACAAAGTTGTTGTCACAAGCTACCCTGCAGTATACAAAGTCATTAAAACTATCATGATGGGAGTTATTTCAGCATCCCTTTTATACGTTTATTACAATTAAATAATAACAACAAACAGTTCATTTTGATCCATAGTGCTGTGGCATTGATTCACCATGACGTGCAAGTTTCATTAAATATTTTTTTATTAACACGCTAATAAAAAACAAAAAAGCAACTTAGCGGAGACATATGGACAGGCGCTCCGCAGCTGAGAGGGAACGCCTGTAGTTTGTGTCCATCCGGGACATCCTGACACCAACCCGAGCTAAAAGATCCTCAACTGGACACAGGTCATCCTAAAATACCGCTAGAAACGGCAATCATCCAGGTGCAGTTCCTTGATTAAACAATGATATTCACCAAACTGTGTGTGACGCTTGATTACATTGTGAACCCAGACACGACAGCGTTTGTTGCTACGTTTGTAGGACTTCCACAGAAGGCACAAAGCAGCAATAGTTGTTTTTCCTCCATAGTCAAGGACAGAAATAACCAAAATGATATTGCATGGAAACGTAAACAACCTCAACTGTCTGTCAATGGCGCGGCGCGTCAACGGTATGTCTGTTTTGAATGACGCGATAAAAAAAACTGCAAGCCGCGGTGAAACTCGAGCGATTGATGCGAATATTCGAAACAATAAAAATAATTAAGTAGGTATAACTTGATTTGTACACACACTCAATTTTCAATCCCCACCAAAATCATAATAATAATAGTTCAAAAAAGAAATAAATGGGATGATTGGAGGCCTCTCGCCCCTAGGGGGAAGTCGAGGCCCCTGGGCCACGAGGCCCCTGTGCCACGGCCCAGGCGGCCCGGTCATTAATCCGGGCTTGGGTTTGACAGACATTGTCTTCAAAGTATCAGTATTGGGAGGGTCCGGGCAGTGAAATGGTCGATGTGGCAGGGTCCAGCGGTGACCCTGCAGATCAACAGTTCTGATTGGCCACCAAGTATGTACCCAAAGAGCAATTTCACTTGTTCCTGCTTATTAGACTTCATGTTGTGATGCAGGCATTTGTCACAACCACGTCTCTGATGCGTTGGCTGTTGGGAAACGTAACCAGCTGTTAGAAAATCTTGTGCCCTCCAATGTAACTTGAGAAATGTTTGATGGCCCCTACTATAACTCATTGGGCTGTTTAGCTGTCTAAGTATTTGATCTTAGGGCCTACAAGCTGTCATAAGCGACCAGTTGCCCGCCGCCTGTCTTGGACCGTCGTTGGTACACTCAGGCAATGATCAGAGAATCCTGCTTCAACAAAGAATTCCTTGTCTCACCCTGGGCCTTGGCTGGCAGTGAGGCTCATAAAGGTACACTGAAAACACTGAAACTTTGACTTTTATTAAATGTATCATGTCAACAGATTTGACATAACTGCATTATGTTATTACGTTTATACAAAATATTATGTTCAACTTAATATACATAATAACCTAATACAGTTATGTGAAATGTGTTGACATAAGCTTTCATTAAAGTCAATGTTTGAGTTTTCTCAGTGTAGTTTTGCCTGGCTTTGTACTATTGAGACCATCTCTGGTTAATGCTGGAGGCCTTGTGCAGTGAGGGTCCATCAGAGCTGAAGGTGGTCTTCCAGGCAGCAGATGTCCAGGGATAGTGTCCCTTGGTGTAAAGGGGGGATCACTTCACAATTTTTTACTTCCTGTGAAGATTATTTTCTTTAAATTTTTTTTCAGAATCAATACTAATTCGGCTCACACACTTAATTATTACCTTATTTGAGAGTTGGGGCTAGGCTATCAACCACTTTATATCAGATTTAAAAATGAATAAACAATTATTGAAACAAATCGATGCCAACCTGTGTTCTCATGACAAAGATGTATAAATATGTAAATATGCATATTGTTACCTTTATGCATAAAAAATGAGTTAAATAACAGCAAAATGCAGATGAGTGTGGTCCTCAAATGTAAAGAGGGGGATTTTGTGAGCAACAGGAGAAGGGGGGGTAAGGTTAACACACCTACAAAGCCTCATTTCCTGTACTTAATTTAAAATGCTGAAGAAAACTTTGTTTTATTAAAACTTGTTGTCTTGGCTTAACAAATCAATTACAGTAACCTACGTTTCATTTTGCATTGAAGTTGAATTCAGTTCATTTGGAAGTTGAGTATGTCTCTGTGTGTTTGTTACCTTTTTATTCTTAAGAACGTGTGATGGTTAGAAACACCGGGGACCCGGTTGTACACTCGAGCAGTTTGTAGGTTAATATTCTTATTTGAGTTCCCGCTGTACTGTCGTACAGGAGTGAGGATATTCTGTACTAACGTACATTTGCAGTCCCAAACTTTTCCTACAAATATATTGATACACAAAGTCCTGAGCAAACATTTTACTTTTATGTATTGAAGTATATACGTACTTTTGAATTTCTGCATTTAAAAATGCTATTCATTATTAAATCCCTTGCAAATACAGTTTCCCGAGAAATCGTACTTGCATTTATAACCCTACTGTTCAACCCGTTACTGCCTACTAACGTATTTGTACCAAAATCTCCTTTCCAGCAAAAACTCTCAAGAACACACACACATACACACACACACACACACACACACACACACACACACACACACACACACACACACACACACACACACACCACACACACACACACACACACACACACACACACACACACACACACACACACACACACACACACACACACACACACACACACACACCGCCCAGCAGCAGCAGGCTTGTGTCACTGCTGATCTCCTCCCCATATTCCTGCTGATGCCAAAACTCAGTGGAGAGAGTTGAAACATGGAAACAGTTGAAGAGGCCCAGAGTGTATGAGCGGACCATACAGTCCAGTGAATTACCCACAGAGCAATCCATCACCCGCGCCCTGAGAAATACCTCACTTTTTTTTCTTGGAAATGAAGAGGAGTGCTTCTAGATATGACATCACAAGAAACTTGAAACCAACATTTTCAGCAGCCCTCCCTGCTCACACATTTGCTCCCCTCTCCCCGACCTCTCCCTGAGGCGCTTTGTGCTTCTCTGCGGGGCTCTAAGACACTCCAGTCCTGCCCAAACTACTCCTCTGAACGCAGGATTTCACAGACCCTGCGTCTGCTCCGGACACCGAGCCAGGCCTGCTTCTGGAGCAGTGGTGAGTCTCTCCATTCTTTGGGGTGAGTTGGAGCTGCTCTGCCACGTGGTTGGTTATTTCAGGAGCTCTGCAGAAGAGCTCTGTTAAAGCCAGGGCTCAGAGTGTTAGACTCTAAAGCTAAATCAGACTCATTAAAGTAGCTGTATGCAGCTGTACTCCAGATGTGAAACTCTTCCAGCTCGTTCTAAGAAACTTAACTCAAAGTTTCAAACTCTCTAGAAATATTCATAATGACCAATGGTTCTTGAGATTGTACATTCCTATCATTTCAATTATTGTTTTAATCTTTGATCCATTTTTTTGCTTGTTATAAATTATTTTCCAAATAATGAATGTTTTTAACACTGTTACTATGGTTGAAGGTGACTGTCAAATTACCATGGTTTGCGTGAAGGTGAGGTCAGCTGGTTTCTATTGTGGCTATTATTGTTATCATTTTATTGTCGGACATTTTTCAGTTTAAGAATTCACATCAATAATGGAAATCACAGACTCTTGATGAATCAAATGAAATATTTGGGAGGAAGAAACAAGTGAAGAGAAAAATATTCTGGCAAAGCGCTTTAATGCTCTGATGACATATGTTTTTGTCAACATCTGATAATGTAACAAAAAATATGGACCAAAACAAAATACCAAAACAAGTGCAAAACACAGTTTTACAGCTCTGGGGATATCATGAGCCTCAGCTGGTTCATGATGTCATTCTGTAGGTTATTATAAAGATGTCATGGAATGAAGAAGAATAGAAGTACTTCACATAAAAAAACAAAGGAATAAACCCAAGATAAGAACATAGGAGGAGGGGGACGGTATGTAAGCTGCAAATATACACTATCCATGCTTGGGAAAAGGGGCGGGGCTTAAATCAGGCACACATTGTACACTTTCCCTTCCCTCTTACCTCACTGTGGCTGTCTGGGAAAACACTGCCTATGTTCTATTCACTGATACATGCTGACATATGTCATTCTGTTGGCTTAAATCTTTGGATCTTGTCAAAACAACTTTGACTTTGAATAAGTTTATCCTAGAAATAGAAAAACATTGAGAATAAGAATTATCATAGACTCGGAATAGGGTTGCAGGAACAGTGTGCTACTTCTAGTTGTGTACAGATTAAACAAACATAACATGAACTATGAGCTTTAGGTATTGGTAAATGTTTGTTTTTTAACTTTAGACACAGCCATTATTATTGTTCATGCTGGTTTTATTGCTGGCTAGATTTGATAAAATCCTGTAGCTTAAGTTGGACATTTAAAATCATTTTCACAGTTTTGGCATGGTCCTTCTTAATTAGTAAATAATTAAGTTAATAAAGTTGTGCACAAACATTTAAATCCCAATGACCTATTAAAGCACATGGTACAGCGTCTAACCTCGAAGATACAACTTTGTGTTTACAGTTGCAAATGTGTCTTTGGCCAAAAGTGGTGGCAAGAAACTCTTGAATCTGATTGGTGGACAGGCTGGGTGTGTGTACCTGGATCACAGTTGGATAGCCTCAGGGGAGCAGCCAGCCACAGGGAACTTAAATATGGTCATCTGTCACTATTTATATGCTTTTATTATTTACACATGGCTTTAAAAGTGGGATATAGCCCTGTATAGTTAGTGACTTAACGTAATATAAGATTCAGGTTCAAACAAATATTTGATCATGTGTGTAATTTGCTAATGCATCACTCATCCAGGTGCAGATGATCTAATCAGAGATATGATTGAGGGCTGAACAGTGTCTCTTTAACCTCCTGAAACTCAAAGCAAACATCCATCCTTCTTCTAAATATAATTAAAGTAACTCCAGTACTGTGTGATCCATAACTCATGTCCAATAACCAGAGAACTGAGGTGAGAGTAGTACTCACATCTTGTACTTAAGTAAAAGTAGAAGTACCAGAGTGTAGGAATACTCTGTTACAGTAAAAGTCCTGCATTCAACATGTTACTCAGTAAAAGTATAAAAGTATTATCATCAAAATATAGTTAAAGTAGCGACAGTAAAAGTAGTGATTGTGCAGATTGGTCCATTTCAGAATAATAGATATGATATGTTTTATAATGATTGATCATGAAAGTGTTCTCAAAGCTGGTAAAGGTGCAGCTAGTTTGAATGACTTTGTATACTGCAGGGTAGCTTGTGGATTTACTCCAGGTGGAACTAAAGTCTGATTTAACACTTGATTATATATATTATTATATTATATATATATATTATTATATTTCTCATCATTCATCCACATCTGTAAAGTAACTAAAGATATTAAATAAATGTAGTGCAGTAAAAGTAGACGATTTACCGACTAGTATTTGAAGGTATGAAAATATATGTTGCTCATAAAATACTTCACAGCATGAGAATGTACAGCATGTGTATGGACAGTATTTACAAATAGAGTCCATGGTGACGCCTGCTGTACGAAATATCAATGTCTGAGGAACCAGCTCAGGGATGTTTGAGCAGGGGGGGTCATTCTCAGCTGCTATCACTGTCTGTCGCTCCTGACGCCTACAGGGAACAGATATCCACAACTGGGACGTCCAGACCTGGCTGCTGGCCAGACGCTTATCTGCAGAGCCACGTCGCCTTCACTGGGGTCGAAAAACACTCCTCCACCATGGAGGCTGCTGTTCAGACAATATACAGGACAGACAGACAGACAGACAGACAGACAGACAGACAGACAGACAGACAGACAGACAGACAGACAGACAGACAGACAGACAGACAGACAGACAGACAGACAGACAGACAGACAGACAGACAGACAGACAGACAGACAGACAGACAGACAGACAGACAGACAGACAGACAGACAGACAGACAGACAGACAGACAGACAGACAGACAGACAGACAGACAGACAGACAGACAGACAGACAGACAGACAGACAGATATAGAAAATGTTATGGATAAGTTAGAGACATGCATGAAATGACTGTGAGTGTGTGAAAGGTGTCACTGGCATTGGTGTTCAGCCTCCTTCAGCTGGGGGGTCAGCTTCACTGGTCTCATCTCCCAGGGAGCCGCTGGGTTCAGTACAGAGCTCTGATAATAAACCCGCTGTAACCTCACATCACACAGCAGACAGAAGCTGTGGAGCACAGACACACATTTCTCTCAGGAGTGAATAATGACTCATCAGGGGGACACAACCCCCCCCCCCCACAGCTGACAGATGGTGCAGCCATCTGGTTTGTAGCCTTTATTTAACCAGGTTAAAAAATCCCATTGAGATCAACGATCTCTTTTTCAAGGGAGACCTGCGGTACATTGGTTACACATAAAAACAACAGAAAACAAAAAGGACATCACAACATAATTACAGGGGTATAAATTAGCAACCTATTCACAGTGACAGGTATCCAATAACATTTCATCCAGCCGTGCTTTAAAATGATGCAAGGGAATCAAAATGCTCAGTTTCAATGTTTTTTGCATAGTGTTCCAAGCTAGAGGAGCAGCGCACATAAAAGCTTTAGCACCTAAAACAGTCCTAGCACTTGGCACATCCTGGGATCTCAGTCAATAGCTACTTGCCACTCTCTGTGAGATCAAAGAGCATATATAAGTCGGTAGTTTACCCAGCATGGCTTTATATATGAATATGTACGACTGAGCCTCCGAACAGTAAGTGAAGGCAGACCTGCCTTGGCATACAGGGTACAGTGATGAGTAAGTGCTTTACAGTTAGTAACAAATCTCAGAGCACTGTGGTAGGCGGCATCTAACCTTTCCAGGCAATGGGCAGGTGCATTCATATAGATCAGATCACCATAGTCCAGCACAGGTAAAAAGGTCACAGTGACTAGCCTTTTCCTGGCTTCAAAAGAGAAACAGGACTTGTTTCTGAAAAAGAAACCTAGTCTAACCCTCAGTTTTTTAAGCAGATTAATGACCTGAAGTTTAAAAGTAAGACAATCATCAAGCCAGATACCAAGGTATTTATAACAGGTAACCACTTCGAGTACTTGTCCTTGCATAGTAACAATATCCAAAGCAGTCTCTTGAGTCTTTTTAGCTTTAGAAAAGAGCATTACCTTGGTTTTCTCAACATTTAAAAGAAGCTTAAGCTCAGCGAGCTGAGTCTGAATAATGTTAAAAACAGCCTGTAATTTAATAACCGCCTCCTTAAAGATAGGGTAGGTAAGTTTGAGAAACCGGCTCGAGATACACTTTTTGTTATATTCCATGGAATGTTCTTAACATCCCGATAGCAATGAATATCTTAAGTGCTTTGACAAAAAATCCATAAAAAAATGTCACCTGTGGAAGCCGTAATACTGTAAAAAGCACGACCAATCATTTTAGCCGGCCCGGCTAAAATAACTGGATGGCCTACCTGCCTGTCAGCCTTCCATCTGTGCACAAACTTATCTCGTGCCCTCATTGGTCATGTGCGCGTTCGTGTGTGTTGGAGGAGGGGCTCTATAAGGAAGTGGCAGATTTTCTCCGGTTGTGTATTTTCAAATTCTAGCGATCTCGAGCCGGTTTCTCAAACTTACCTACCCCACCTTTAATCGAGGGACCTGCACAGTACATCACGGTATCATCCGCATAAAAATGTAAAGTAGCTTCATCCACATTTTCACCTAAACTATTGATGTAGATGGAGAATAAAAGTGGACCTAAAATAGAACCTTGAGGAACACCATTAGCAATGTTCAACCACTCAGAAGACAGCCCATCAAAGTGAACACATTGGGACCTTTCAGAGAGGTAGTTCACAAACCACCCCACTGCATGGCTGGATATGCCAATACTGAGTAGCCTCTGCTTTAAGATGCGATGATCGACGGTGTCAAACACTGGTCCCTGTGTGTGGAACTATGCATGTTCTATTAGGGTAGATACATTGGCTTTAAAAGATACAATAGCCGCGTTCACACCGGAGTACTTTTCACCGTACTTTTCGCGTTTAGTTCCGTTAGTACCCCTTATGTCGCGTTCACACCAAAAAGAGCACTTAATCCCGGGAACTTTTACTCCCATTTTTACTGCCTGCTGAGAGATGGTACTTTCCTGGGGGAAAAAAGTGCCCCAGTTCTGATTGGCTGGGCGAATTGCAAACCACGCCCCGTACAACTCTGAAATGTTTTGTAGAGCCGCCATTTTATTATCCTGGCATTAGCATTATTAGCATTAGCATTCGCCCAGTGCACAAACGCAGAGAGACTAACTTATGGCAACACAAAATAAAACATGGGAGCGGTGGAGATGAGGAGGTGTCGGCGTTCTGGCGATTTACTCGGAAGGCTTCAGTAGAAGCTGCTGGGAGTCCCAGCAGCTTCTACTGAAGCCAGTCCCCAACTCCGGGGACTTCCGGCCGGGGACCCCGGGTGGCAGTATACGCCGTGAAGTTGTTTGCGGCCTGCCAGTAAACCCAAAGCAGAAGAAGACGAAGTGACGTCAGCGGCTCATTTGCGTAATCTTCCCTCAGGGAAAAGTACTCCGGTGTGAACGCGATCTGTACTAAATGCCCTGGGGTAATAAGTGCCGGGGCACTGAGTGCCGGCACTAAATACGGCAAAGTACTTGGTGTGAACGCGCCTAATGGTGACAAATGTGTGTTTACAGTGTGAGTCTTAAGTTCAACGTTTAGCAGCATTTTGCAGTAGTTCAACTACATTGATATAGTCATTTAAAGAGTCAAATCCGTTTTTGTTTACTATTGAAACTACAAACATTGAGACCATAAAAGGAAATTAATGTGTTTTTTTTTTTTACCCCTTTCATCCTTTAGCTGTAAAGTCAGATGTTAAGGGCGAGCAAAACATACAGAATAACCCGTGAACAATTCAGTTTTTTTTTTAACAATGTACAGTAGTTTTCATTTACTTTTTTCTAGTAGCTATGGTTATAAGAAGCTTTGCTGTAGTTTAACTCCTTCCAGTGTGAAGGATTGGTAGCTTTCCCACCACCATGTGTTAACTGCTGTCCTATATCCAACACACATCAGTGGGTTCAGATGTGTACTTTGACATTGATGACAGGGTTGAATGTAGATCTGTTTGTGAAGTTTACTTTTTCTTGCTTTGTCTGCCTTCATTTATTGTATGCTGTTAAATGAAGACAGAGACCTCATGTCGAGGGGCGGCCCCCTGCCAGGCGAATGGACGCTTCACCCGGAGGTGGTGAAGCAGATCTGGGCCCAGTTCGGGAGAGCGGAAGTGGATCTGTTCGCCAGCCGGCGCAACAGCCACTGTGCAGAGTGGGGAGAGTGAGGCGAGAACGTCTGGCAGTCATCCTAGTAGCACCGGATCGCGTCGGGGCTCCGTGGTACTCAGAGATGACACAGATGAAGGTGGGCCAGCCCTGGGCAATCCCCCAGTTCTGGGGGGCGATGTCTCAAGAGGCAGGTGCAATCGGGGCGTTACCCACTCTGGGCCGTCCTCTCCAGGCTTGGCTCCTGAGAGGGACAGGCTGAGACAGGGTGGATTGTCTGACAGCGTTATTCAGTCTATCCAGGCAGCTAGAGCTGGATCCACCACAGCCTGTTACAGGCCGGAGTGGCTGGGATTCCAGCGATGGTGTGAGGAGCGGAGAATAGAGCCCCTATCTTGTGAGTTGGGCTCTATTTTTTCCTTCTTACAGTTATTGGTGGACAGAGGGCTTGCTCATTCTACGGTAAAGGTGTATGCAGCCATCTCGTCCTGCCATGAGGGATTTGACGGCAGGTCAGCCTTTTCTCATCCACTGATGTCTCGGTTTTTACAGGGGGTCAGGAGGCTGCGCCCAGTAGTGCACGTCTCCGCCCCGCAGTGGGACCTGCCGCTGGTGCTCGAGGCTCTGGTCACAGAACCATTTGAGCCTCTGGAGCTCTCCTCCCTGAAACCACTGTTGTGGAAGACATCTTTGCTTCTTGCCTTAACGTCAGCCAAAAGAGTGTCCGAGTTAACCGCTCTATCGGTGCACCCGAGTTGTTTACTGATTCGGGGTGACCGGAGCGGCGCGACACTCAGACCGAACCCCTCCTTGGTGCCCAAGAGCCTAAGGAGTGCCTTCAGGTCGAGGGCTATTCAGTTAGGGGGTTTTAGTCTTCCCCCCCATGGTGGGGCCAGGGAAGCTAAACTGCACCTCCTCTGCCCGGTGCGTGCGCTAGCATGTTATGTGGAGTTCACGGCTGCCCTTAGACGCACCGAACAGCTGTTTGTGTGCTGCGGGGGCGGGGTGATCGGGAAAGCTCTGTCCAAGAAACGCCTGGCAGGCTGGCTCTGCGAGTGCAGTGGTCCGTGCACACTCCTCACGGGCTGTGGCTGTGTCAACAGCCTTAAGGCCGCTACACACCCACCTGAGACCAAAGAACACGTACCGAGGGCGTCCCGACTTTTACGTCAGCTACTTCGCCTGCGTCGGCTTCGCCTGCGTCGGCTTACCCGCCCGCTACGCCGCCCGCCTACGAACACACCGCAAATACTTCAGTCGACGAGTGGCAATAACTGTCCTTACCAGCAGGCAGCGGTAGTGTGAACAGCCAATCAGAGTGATTGCTTGGGCCGACTTTCTCTGACCTGTGTGAAAAGGTGCCGTAAAGAGACAACGGTGCGGGACACATCAACCTGAGTAGGGCGCCGCGAATGCCCGACTGCCTCTGACGGCCTCTGACTCCCAAAATCGGGTTGGTGTGTAGCCAGCTTTATTCAATGGTGTGAGTGTGGAGGATATATGCACAGCGGCGTCTTGGTCAACGCCAGGCCCCTTCATAAAGTTTTATCTCTTGGACATGTCTGGCTCTTTCTCCGCGTCTGTGCTTGCTGGGGCAACACAGGACTGGTGAGGAGGGGGGAGGCTGTGGGTCAGTAGGCATCTGACCCCCTCCCCGGTCGTAATGCGCCTTCGCCTTTCCCGGGACCTCAGAGGGCTAGGTGCGCACTGGCCCATTACGGGGCGGATGGGCTACCCCCCTCCTGCTGAGAGGTAGGAGGGGGGTAGCCCTCCACACTTTAGTCCACACACACTCTGCACGGGGTCAGTGTTTGAGTGTGGGGCATGGGCACTTGCACTCTCCCTGTGATCCTTAGGGACTCAGAGAGGTAGGTGCACAGTGAGCCTATACAGGGCTGGGGATTCTCCCCATCTGCCTATGGGCGCAGCAGAGTGTGCTCTGTCAGCCGCAGCCCAGACTTCTCCACGGTCACAACCGGGTTAAAGTGGAATGTGGGGCAGCAGCTGCTGACTAGAAAAGCCGGTCAGGGGGAGTAGGGTGGAATGATGTTGTTGGACGACAGTGCGCGTATACATCAGGGCTCCACCCACTGTACCCATAGAGTCCAGTAGAGGGCGGAGCCTGTGAGAGATATAATGCTGGGTTACGTATTGTAACCCTTGTTATATTAACACAGGCGGAGCCCTCTACTCAGGGCACTGTCTGTCCTATACCGCTCGCTGAAGAGAGGTATAGGATGATAGTCAGGAGGCGAGGCCTCCTTTTATACGGTGAGATGCGCGCGCATTCAGGTAGGCCCGCCCCGGACTGTAATGGCTTTACTGTATATGACATGGTTTAAGGTCGTGTTTTGTTTCCTCTTTTCAGATTTCCCCTTTCAACCTCTTTGTTTCAAAAGAATCCTCTATATGACAGAATAGGTCCGCCCGTGTCCCGGTCACAGTATGGAGCTGCAGAATCTGTCCAATGGGAACTACCATGATGCTGCGGCACCTGTGGAGGGGGGGTACGTTTCCTCTGTGTGACTACTATTTGTTTGAATTGCTGTGAATTATTGGTGGATCAAGTATATTCATGTTGAAGCTGTGCAGTGATTGGTTTGCAGCGACGTGCAGTCAGTGGAGGCAGGGGAGGCAGAGCCTCACCTGTCATACTCCAATGTAACGGACAAACAATTAAAGAAAAACTAAATAATAATAATAATAAAATGTCTCCACTGATCTTGTGTAAATGTGATTTCTGTATGATTCCAATCGCATTTTATAGTCAAAATCAGCAAATTTGCCGAGCTCCGCTACGGGAGCGATGAGAAGTGAGGCAGGCACGAGCACTGCCTCACGTAAGCCCACAGTAACTTGCTGGAGCGCGGGCACTAATTTAGCGCGGCCACTTATTTTGTGAGCGCGCTCAAGCCATTTACTATGGGGTGAGGTGAGGCACAGATCAGCTCTGCATCACTTCAGAATGCGTCACCCCACAGAAACTGTCTGGAAAGCGGGCCCTAAGCGCATGCCTGTTCCCATCTCACTGTAGGTCACCAATGTAATGTTTGTAGATCCCTTTATTACATTTATCCTCGCCATCCATAGTCTCTAAATAACTTATTTCACGTATATATGATATTTAGGCTCGCTGGTCTCATCGTACAACGGCAATGAAAAAAGCATCAGGGGAGGCAGCCATAACCTCTGCCGCACTGAAGGGGGCGCACGTGAGCCCACAGGTTCTTGTTGCTACTGTTATTCTACCGCAAACAACAAACTAGACTTTTGAAACTACAGGAAGATAAGGAGGACTTTTACAAAACAGTAATAGAGATTGTTGTCCAGAAGGATAGCATGGACTTATATTCATCTTCAAGTCAAGGTAAGACCACAACTGTAATGAAAATGGGATCTTACTTAGAAAGAACAATCCAATATTTAGATTTTGGGTATCCTTTTGTTGATCGGTCTGTTTAAAATTAATCATAGCATCAGACTAAAAGAGCTTTTGAAAATAACAGAATATTTCGATTAAGGTCAAAATAGGCTATAATATTTGTAAATCTGACTCTGAAAGAGTCAGTGGCTCACCAGCCATGAACCTCACCGCACGTCACTGTTGGTTTGTTTTTCTGTTTGTGAATGATACAGAATCCCACCAGAGGAAGAGAAGTTCCTGCCTCACAAGAGTGATGGATCCTCTCCTCAGTTCACAGACGTGAGTATGGCTGTCACTGTGCACGAGTGCACACGCTCACACACAACCCCCACAGCACAGTGTTGCTCAGCAGGGGTGGAAAGTAACTAAGTACATCTACTCAAGTACTGTACTTGTTTTTATTTACTGTACAATTTTGAGGTCAATTGTGTACTTTTACTGTCCTACATTTCTTTTGTACATTTAGTTACTTTGCAGATTTGGATTGATGATGTGAAATATGAACAACAAGGCCCCTTGCTATTTTATAAAAAATGGCCAAACAGTATGCAGCTTCAAACTGAAACTGTCACTAAAGTGCCTGTGGCCTTATTTTTCCTTTACATCTAAAAGAAAATGTAATGCTGGACGTTAGTGTTTGACCAACAGAAACCCTACCACATTCTGTGAATTTCTGTCCCCTAGACAACATGTATTACCCTTGAGGTCTGTAATCTTTGTATTATAATATGTTTAAATCATTTATTAACATTACGTTTGCTGACAAGCAATACATAGCACCTGCTATAAAAAGGTGTAGCTCCTGTTTTTGAGCCTTATGTCGGCCAGGCAATGTTTGTATATCCTGTATGAAGACATTAACATTTTCCTACAGATAAAAAATAAGGTTCCCTTTTGGAAGCTTATTATCTTTTAACTGTTAGCTAGTGCAGACCTCAACTGATTATCATTCAAACACGCTGCCGGACTTCTAGTAAAATACAGTGATATGCATCTTCTTGTGAAACATCAATCAAAAATGTGCATCCTAAAATGAAGTCATTGTAGATTTTGTGTTGGTTAGGTTAATAATCTAGTCTTGTCTTTTACAGTTTGAGGGTAAAACCTCCTTTGGGATGTCTGTGTTCAACCTGAGCAACGCCATCATGGGCAGCGGCGTTCTGGGTCTGTCATACGCCATGTCCAACACCGGCATTGTGTTCTTTCTGTGAGTACCACTGTGAGCGACTCTATCATCAGGCATATCAAATCCAAAAGAGCAATAACTCACTGCATACTCGGTGCAAAAGTTACGGACGTTCTTCAGCAGATCCCGTCCCTCTTAAGCAGACACCCGTATGTCCACAGTGTTATAGTCCATATTGGCACAAACGACATCACCAGGCAGCAGTCTGAAGTCCGAAAACAGGATTTTAACTGTCTGTTTAACGAACTTAAAAAATCAGGTCCGATCCCCACGCTGGGCCGAGGTAGCGGACGTTTCAGCAGGCTGCAGACATGGTTACACGCAATCTGTCCATCACTCAACTTTACATTCATAGACCATTTTAATCTGTTCTGGGAACGAACCAATTTATTTAGCAGAGATGGCATCCACCCTAGCTTCCAAGGCTCTTGTGCGCTCTCTGCAAACATTTTCCATGAGATGACCACAGCTTCCCGCCATTGACTGATCGCTACAACACACACAATAGCCCTGACCTCAAGCCCCCAGGAAGTGCGCCGGAGTCTGTGCCCAATATTCGTTGTCTCCAAACGGCGGAACTGCAACTTCCGTATCAGTCCGTGACGTCACTGGGCCCAGAAAGCCTTTTTCCCATTGACTAACATGGGGAAAGAGACGTCTGTAAATCGGTGGATAATTTTTTTTTAACTAAATAAACTACCCAGTATCAACTATTTTATAGCCCTTATTAGAATCATTCGGTCCTTAACCTGTTAAACCCGAGAGGACCCTAATCCGGGTCTGGCGGGTAGTTTTTTCACGAAACTGTGTCTCAGGGCTTTTTAGTATTTAAAAACCTATTAATGTGTCATACTGACTTAACGGTTAGAAACTCAGCTAACTGAAGATATGAACCATTTTTACCGAAACAAAGCACAAGTCTCACAAGAAGCGTCTAAATTAGCCCTGAGCGAAAAAATGCTAACGCACATAGCACAGAACTCAAGGTAAAAATACCCTTATTACTTATCGTAACTGCACATACAAGATATCCGATAAAAGCTGAGATTCCAGATTCTATAGGTATTGGTATCATCACTGAGCGATCAGAATTTGCGACAGGGGAAGCAAACACAGACATCACAACACGTAGCATCACGGAGCATTCACGGGACATCTCTCATGGCGCATTTCCACTACACGGCCTCGCTCGGTATGGCTAGGCCTCGTTAGGCCTTGTTAGGCCCGGCTCACTTTAATGCTGCGCTTCCATTACAGTTTAGGAACTGGGGTAGTATCTATAGTAACGCAGTGTAGGCCGAGCCGTGACGTCATCTTCAATGAGAACCCCAGAAAAACAACATCAGCTGTTAGCTGTTAGCACTCAAGCTCACAGCTCCTCATATATGTTCAGAAACTAGACAAAAGTTAAACAAGTACAAACCACAGACTGTCTGTGTCATTGGCGAATACAGTTGCTGGTTTATTTATGTCTGTATAGGCCGTTGTTGTGAGTGTGGACCGTCAGAGCATATTCTGCGTTAGCTTAGCCGATCTCCATTTAGACAACACGCATTTTAAAAGGTTTTTCGCCTGCCGTCTGTCTGCAGACTTGTCAAAGCATTAATTCATGGTTTTTACTAACCGGTATCAGTATGTTGTTACTTCGGCATCATTTTGAAACGTGTATTACAATTAAATCACGGTCAAATATGTTCATATTGTTGTAGTTGCAGCCCCCTTGCCAGCGATTCTCTCTCTAGTTTAGCATACTTAGCCCGACTCAGCCTGGTTGTTGGCCCGGAAAGAACCTCGATTTTATGGGGCCAGAAAAACTGTGAAATAGTACCCGCTAGCCGGTACTACGCTAAGTGGAAACGCTACCAAAAACGGGCCCCGCACGGCTCGGCACGCTTAAAGCGAGCTCCGCGCTTTAGTGGAAATGCGCCATTACCTTAGCTGTTGGTTTCTGATAAAAAGTCGTGTTCAATGGCATTCAAACGAGAAAAACGCGGCTGAAGGTTAATCCATAGGTTAATCCAATGTGTCTGTCACTTTGAAAAAATTATTGATAATCCATAATTCAATTTTTATTTAAAAATCGGAGATTTTATATTAGCTGCTAATGGTAGCCACCAGAGTGTATCGCAGCTTCCGGTTCCGGGGCATTCTGGCTGCGCAGTACTCACCAATGGGTAATGTTTAGATGGATTTTAGGAACTTCCCCTCGATTCTATTGGCTCTAACGGTTAAAAAGAGATGTCAATCATCAAAATCGAACGAGGGGGGGCAGAGATATGGAAAATGCACCCAAATGACCCCAGAAGTGGGTTTTTTTCTTCTAAATCTCTCTAAAAAGGTCACATTTCACTTGTTTTGCATCAATCTTGATACAGGGTACTTATTATATGTTATAGTTTGGATTCCTAAAGCTTTTAGTCTACTATCCCATCCTTCAAGGGTGGTTTTCACTATAAGTAAAAAAAAATGTTTGGACGGACACTATCATTTACATTTTTTTACTATGTTCAATCTGAATTTACTTTAAAATAAAAAAAATCTATATTGATTCTGACTTTTCTACATCCAACTCACAGGTTTATCATTGCTTTGAGAAAAAAGATTATGCATTTACCCCTTTTAAAAGGGAAGATATAGTCATTTGTTCTGGGAATGTCATTTTCGAGCCTGAGACCTGAAAAACAGGCTCAGGGCTTAAGTTGTAAAATGCACTAAAAGCCGAATCTAGATTTATTTTCTCTCTCCATTCATTCTAGTGAGCCGAGAGTGGGAGCTCGGGGGGCGGGCTTAAGGGGCAACTCAACTGCGCATGCTCTCTGAGCGCACATACGGGTACTTCTGCTTAACTTTTTTAAAAGTGTCTATTGTTATATTGCCTCATATGTACTGCAGATTGTGAACATGTCACTCCATTCAGGTGACTTCCCTAAGGGCTTGAAAACTGCAGTTCTATTTCGTCCCTACTGACCGCCAGAGGCGGTGCTTTTAGCACTGGATATGTCCATCGTGCGCATGCGCAGTACGAGTACCAATATCAACAAAGTCACCTGTGACCCACGTGACACCGGCTATATCAGCCCGTGTCATCAGAGGATCTGCTCCTTTCATCTTCTCGCTGCGCGAGAGTACCGTGGCTACACTATTGTAGCCTACAGCGTTCAGTTGGAACGTTTGGATTTAAGGATTTCTCTGCATCCAGCTGGCTGCGTGTAGCTTCGCGACTGATCCAGTCGGAGCCGCGGGATTACCCGTCCTCCAGGAGCTGCGGCCGGCTGCGCAGAAAACTTCAACGGACAGGTTGGTGTCGGCTTGGTCGGTGACGGCAGTGTTTCCACTCCCTCTCCCAGCTAGGTTGTCCTGATTTCTGTCTTGGTTGCTACCTGGCTTGAACTTTCTGGTGACGGTAACATTTCCGCCCCCTCTCCAAGGAGTTGCCCTTGTTGCGCTCTCTGTACTTTTCTGATAGCGCGGCGTTGCGCCAAGCTATCATTAGCATCCTGAGTTCCAGCTTGTGTTGTGTCCTCTTGTTTAGCTAGTTAGCAGTAGCGCGGCTCAGCCTAACTGTGTCCTGCCTGGTCAGCCACTTTGGCTGACGCTTGAGGTAAGCACCGGATTACCCGTGCTGTTTTTTCTTTAGAAGCAGTTTCCTTAGCTTGTTTCGCTATTTTACTCAACCAGTGAAGGCAGTGTTTTTACCCCCGCTCCTGGTAAGAGTGTTCCTTGACTGTGAGCAGCAGCCGGCTGGCTAGCTGCCCTGTTAAGCTTCCTTATTTGGTAGCTCTGTGCTTCGTTTACTTAGCTAGGTGAAGGCAGTGCTCTCGCTCCCCGCTCCCTCTGCTAGTAGCTTCGCGCTTTCGTTTACTCAGCTAGGTGAAGGCAGTGCTCTCGCTCCCCGCTCCCTCTGCTGGTAGCTCCGTGCTTCGTTTACTCAGCTAGGTGAAGGCAGTGCTCTCGCTCCCCGCTCCCTCTGCTAGTAGCTTTGCACTTTCATTTACTTAGCTAGGTGAAGGCAGTGCTCTCGCTCCCCGCTCCCTCTGCTAAGTAACGCGGGTGTACCCCATTACACCCCTCTCGTGTTTGGCGAGTAGGAGCAGGGCTCTACTCCTTCCGTTCAGCAGGTAACTGGTGAAGGCTGTGTTCTCGCACCCCGCTCCCGGTTACGCTGCATCCGGCTACCTACATGATGGCTCATCCATGTAGCGCCTGTATGGCTTCTCTCGAGCCCGAGGATGGCCACGACCGCTGCCCCTCTTGCCTTGGTCTCGAGCATTTGAGGGAGGGTCTCACGCAGGACGCCTGCATGAACTGTAGCTGCATGCCTTGGGCGCTTAGAGCGGCCAGAGTCGCAGAGGTGGAGCGTCTGGCAGCAGCCAACGGACACCTCTCCTTGTCGCATCTTCCCCTAGGTCAGTTTGGCCGTTCCCGGCGACCCGAGGGAGCGATGGCTACGGGTTCGCCCCCTAACAGGCTGTCCTCTAAGGTGGATCGGTTAGCCGCCGACATGGACATGATGAAGTCGCTCCTCTTAGCCCTTCAACCAGGGGCCGGTATAGGGGCTGCTGGCTTGCCGCCTGCCCCTCCTTCGGTTGCCGCACCTCTGCATGAGGATGCCATGTCACTAGCGGCCTCGGCTAACCTCTTCAACGAAGAGGTGGAGGACGAGGCCCCGCTCACTCCCGGGGAGGCTTCCCACTCCTCTGCTCAGGGCTCTCTGCAGGGCGTGGAGGACGCCTCCATGGCGGCCATTATTCGTGCGGCCCTGGCACACTTGCAGCTTCCTGTTCCGCAGGCCGACGCGGCTCAGGCTAGCGCCTTCTTCAGGCGTAGCCCTACCCCTGTCCCCCTCACTGTTCCTCCTTCGGAGGAGTACCTGAGGGAGCTCCATGCATGCTGGAGAGACACCAAGGCCCTCTCCCGCTTCAGCTCTGATGGCCGGACCCTGGCTGCCATGCAGGATCCGGCGAGGGTGGGGCTGGGTCGCATGCCACCCATCGAGCCTGCCATCGCCTCCCTGATTCTGG